ATAAAATCAATGGAACTATCAGCGCGTTATTGTCAGTTTAGATTTCTAAATAAAGGATTACAGTAGGAGTTGCGAGGGTGAAAAGTTGTCTATTGTTAGTAAATTGGGACGCTTTTCATTCAGTGTAAATAGCATTTTAAAATGCCAGAGGAACTGGGGCGAGATTTTCCTGCTATATGTTTAGAAAACAAGTAAACAACGCAGACGAATTTTCTTTAGGTACCCGAGGAAGTATTTCCGGACTGTGTTTTAAAATTCTATACCTAGAATAAAAAAATGTACATTATGGTGCGGTTTCATGTTTGAGTTTTTTATTTTTTTAAATTTATCTCTGGGTTACTTTATATTATCATTAGTGAATTATAATTGTTTGTAAGCTTAGATGATATATTTAGATTAAACTTCAATTTTTTTAAAACTAATTTAATTTTGATTATTATTTTGTGATTAAAAAATAATAAGTATAACCTACTTACTCTTATTAAATTTTATTTAACCGTCACTTTGGAGCTAAATACGTTAGTTGAAAAATAAATTTTTGAAATGTTATGAAATTCCAAAACTCAAATAACAATGTAAGCCGTAAAAAGTCAAAAGTTTTATTTCGAAATGTGGAGTGTCTCAGTCAGACACAGGGCAGAAAAAGTGTAATTTCTTCTAAAAATTTATTATTAGTTTAGACTATCTTATTTGTTATTACTTATATTACTGTTGATTCAACTTTTTGTTTTTTCATTAAATAATTTTTATTTATTTTTGAAATTGATAATGATGAAGGCAATATACAGGGTGCGCCAGAACTCGCGCCCCAAAGAAAAATGCCATATAAGGTAAGATACCAGGAACATGGAAATTATGTTTAAAAAAAATTATCTATAAAAATTTTGAAGTTATGAAGGTTTAAATTTTGCACTTTGACTCTGCTGGAAATATAATTTTCCAAGTTTTTTTGCTATAGGCTATTAAAAGAGGAAACAAGGAAGCTGTATCCTAATTTGTAGCTCTGTTCAATGTTATTTGTGGGTTTTATTGGCAAAATTTTTTACTTTTACTAAATTATTGTAAAAAAACATATACATCATCAGTATCATTAAATAGACATAAAAAATGTCAAATGTCAAAAAATAAATTTCAAAATTTTTTGACAAAATTTTTTTTCATGTTCCTGGTATCTTACCTTACTTGAAAATTTTCTCTGGAGCAGCCTGTATAGGAATTGTGTGTAAAAGTGTAACGAAAAGCTAGGGACAAAGAGTAACCTGAGATTCCCCAAGTTAAAATAAAGCGATTTAACCCAACTTATCTCTATATTAAGTTTCACCGATTAAAAGTTAAAGGACGCCAATAAAATTATAAACCTAAAGATTTTTATACAATTTTAAAAACAGTAATAATAAATGGCCAACGTCCAAAATTTGAACACGTCTACTTAAATTGTTTTTTACTTTAAAACTTCAGTAATTTTTGCTTTGATCTAAATATTAATTTCTCAATCCTTTTTTATGAAGTTTTACCAAATACACATTCGCCAAATTGGGAAATAGAATAATTTTGTGGAAAAAATTGAGAGGGTGAGATATTTACGAACTTTGTATCATCTGACATTTGCGTGCTACATTACGATAAAATTTCTTAGAATTGTTACCGCAGGATGTTTCCCAAAACTACTTCAACCGCGCAACTAATTTATTCGAATTGTGTTTCTCTACTTGTGAAAACGCTGTGAGAATAATTTTTCAGTATTCGGAATGAAACCGAAAGCGATAATCGCTCATCAGAATTCGAAGAAGCGTTGGGATATCTTTGAGAAAGTTCAAAAGCAGAGTTCATGAGCGTCTTGGGAATAGCGTAGAAATTCCCAAATATTATTCCGTCAGCGTTTTGGGGGATGTATAAGTAAGCACCTAATTGTCGCCTTCATTTTGTGTTGGTAATTTGATTACGTGACAGCCTTCAACATTCAATTAGAAAACGCGGCCCGGACCATAAATTTTTACGTTGCCAACATCCGCGTTTTACTACTCGGCCAGACATGAAACAAACTCTTAAATTATTTAGACACATTGTTATCCGCCGGGAATCGCTGTAATTTTTTATCGTCTTCATACCGCAACACAGATATATGACGTTTTGGGGTGAGGCTCCTAATTGAGTGGTTTTTCGTGTTCGCGATTCGTTTCCTTTCGAAATCGGCTTTTTGCCGACCTTCTGGTAGCGGCTGTTCCTCGAATTCGCGTGTTGTAGACGTCGTTCGCATGTAATTAGAAGTTTAAGTTGGTTCGGGTTCTTCCTTAATTTGTAATAAGTCGGCTGTGCGTTATTGAAATTTCAATCACGAAATGGTTTTCCTCACCGAATTTATGTCTCTCGACACGGAGAATTATCGTCGTTGATGATGGGAGAAAGCTGTGGCAGCTCATAGTTTTCCAACTATATATTCTACTCGACCTCACATAAATTGCCGATAAAATTGCGGTTTTTGTCTTCAGCCGGTCGTTCGCTTCTAATTAAATTGGAATAGTTGGGCCAGGAGCGGCCCGATGTTTGTGCTATTAATAAGTAGACATGTTTTATTGGATAGGACACTTTTTTCTTTTCTGAACTCTCATAGATAAATTTTATGGATTGTATAAATTTGAAATTGACTACTACTTTGACTAAAATCTTTGTTTCAAATCATTCTACCATTTTAACTTTTTCATTATTTAAAAGCATCTAAAAACATTTTAGTTCGAATTACCTGTACTGAATATTGGTTTGCAGTGTCTAATTTTAGAAATACTTCAATATCGAAGTTCTATAAAACATTCTGTTGTCGTCATTCAAACCCCAAATCTCTAAATGTAAAAATTTAATAATTCTCGGAATATTTTATTATTTCCGTTTGATTGTAACGCAGTTTTTGCCTAAATCTGAAAAATTAAATTATGTGTTGACTCTCTTATGTTTTTTATTTTTAGCAACATGTTTTAACACTCTTTTGTGATAAATGTCTGTTCACTTTATTGCGATTTTCCTGCGGTCACAATTGTTCCTCTCATTAGCCTAGTGTGCATTAAATAATTCTCCCTCCGTGTACACCACGAATTAGTCTTTGCAATCTGGCACTCATGATAAATCAAAACTTGCCTGGGGTATTTTAATGTAGACTAAATTTACCACAAAAAGCTAGTATATTAAGTTTGGCCAATCTGGGAGCAGTTTTGTTTTTGTCGGTTAACGAGAAAACATTATTTCCTATTTCTCAAGGGTGTCAGTTTTGGTTCTGGCAAGTTTCCAGTTGAGCTTTACCTAGAATGCATTTCAATTTTACCAAATATTACTTTAACGTTATGATAAATGCGAGTATCTGGAACAGACAGGATATGTTTTGACTGGAGCTCTATCAATTTTCGGCAAAAACGATCGGAGATGTTTGGTGTGATAGGAATTTTGTGATGTGGGGTTTTTAGGTCGGGTATAATGTCAAGTTGCAAGCTGATAAGTCAAGCCAGTGAATGCACTCGAGTGTTCACTGCACTATTGATTTAATATACCAGTTATTACTAATTTGCGAGATTTGCAGCTAAATGTCAGAATTAGGTTGAATATTTCAGGAATTTGTACAAAGTGATTTTAATTCAGGATTCAAAGTAGAATTCATGTATTTTTCTGGAAATATTCTCTGTGCTTTAGCAGATAATACGGTCATCAAAACTTCTGAGCTTTGCCTCAGGTTCTCTTTAATTATTTCACCGACAAAGTTTACAAACTTAAATTATCATTGGAAATTCGCCTTGAATATTTAATCAAGATTTCTAAAGGATGGATGTTTATCCAATTTTCTCAAAGAATGAATAGTTAGCAAGGTTTGACTTTTTCTTTTTTTTTGGAATATTTACTAAAGTGGAAATTTTAGAAATGTTGTAAAACCTAATTAATAACGTTTTCTTATTTTTTGCATAAATATATTTCTAAAAATAATGGTGTAACTGAAAAACGTCTTGGCATGATAAATCATTTGAGTAATGTTACCAGAGAAATTTGGGAAATTGGTAGCTACACATGTAGGACTATAACTCACAGTACAGATTTTTCTTGAGTACTGATGGTGTTTATTTACTTTTTAGTTGGCATATTTTGTTGCAAAACTGATAATTACGTCTCGAAACTGGAAAATTCGAACTATCGTTGCCATACTTCATATTCTGTTTACATTCTTGTACTACTTTTTTTCTGTAACAGAAAATTTAAATTTGTTGCCAAATTGAATTAATTTTTTGAACTTGTTCCAAAAACTATGCGATACTGATCTTGGAGCCGAAAATCCTGACTGGTCCTAGTCCGGCAGATTAGTTTTTCTTTTCTTCGCTGTCATAAATATTCTAGAAAAATGCTTCGTTGGTGAATTTTCTGTTATCTGTTTTTTTGTCATATTCAATCCGTTTTTGATAGTCGTACACGAAAACAGGTCGTGGTGACAATATGAAAAGATCTGTAATTTATGTGAGGTGTTAAATCCGGCTTCAGCAAGGCAATAAAAAAATCATATTTATTTTGTCGTGTCGCAACCGGGATAAGTAAACGAGAGTTTATGAGACAGTTGATGAGTTATTGAGGTAAATAAAGAAGGTAAAAATGATGTCATCTGTTGCATCCATCAACTTTTCGTGCTAACTCTAGAAAGTGGAAATTTTTGTTTTGATGAAAGGCCGTCAACGGTTCTGGTTTGGCTATTTAATTAAACTCCCACGTTGAATCATTCATGAAAGTAGTGCGTCAAATGTATCACTTATATATTGTTGCTCGTTATCGAGGATGGAGGCGCGTTGAACGCCCACAAGTGGTAATTAGAGGTGCCTTGTGCTAGGTAAGTACTGGTCCTGCTCCAGCACAGGATAACAACGGGATGACGAGTTTGCGCGAGTTCTTGGCGCGAACTCGCGTGATCAATAGGACTCCGGAGTCCCGGACTCGAGTGCCACTGCAGTTAGTCTTCCCGGAGCCGCCGTGCACAGCGGTCACTTCTCCCACGTTCTTCCAACAACAATCATTCAGTATTCAAACACACACCAAATAATCAAAATTTACCATTCTGATAAGAGACGATCCTTTCAATATCACACCGCGAAGCTGCTTATGTGCTTCAAGCTTCAAAATTTTATTAATTTCCCATTAATCCTAGTGCGAATTTAACCAAATCTGATGTGTATAATTTAATTAAGAGAAATCTCGTGTACTTATCTAAAATTTGAACCGGTTTAAGGATAAATTTACATTTTAATAAGATTAATTTTTTGACAAATAACTCGAAAAACCATCTGTTGATTTGGAGGAACTTGTAATTGCATGTGCAGCGGAGGTAGAAGACGAGAAATGAAATAGTAAAACGTGACGAAAGTTTGGTGGAAATTCCTTCGGTCTACACAAGGCAACAAATGTTTTCTTTTGGACGTTTCTGGAATACATCACGAATTTGCGAGATTAAGTCTACATTCGTCGACATTCTTATAGTGAGATCGAATAGATGGACAGTCGTTCGAATTTGAATTCTAATAAAGACGTACCTAAAAATTTGTGATATTTTTTAAGTTATAGTTGTAGTTTTCTTCTCCTAGTTGCTAACAGTAGACATATCAAGAATAGTGCTTCTCTCTTAGAATAGTTTCAAGTCTTTACGAATTACTTCTACCATATTTCTACTTCGTAATACAAATGAATGATAATAATTAGTTATAGTTAGTTTGAATGTTTTTGCTATTCTGAGTGTCTTCTTAGTACCGTGTTGTTAATTACTCATGTTGTTTATTAATAAGTGATCAGTCTACTGCTGTTGAGGAAGCAATTGTGATTCGAACCATAGTGATATTTTCCCAAAGTGACAATGAGTTTATCGCGTTCCTGTTTGTCTAAGCGGACAATGAATGGAAAGGTAATTATATTGAAACATAATCGTAGATGTAGATTCGCATTAATATTAGATGATAATACATCTCATAAACTATTATCACACTTACACTTGACGTCTATTATAACAATTACCACAACACAAGTCATTAGTTTGGTTCCATGTTAATGCTGCCATTATCTAAAACACAAAAACGAATACATGTTTGTTGAAACTACAAGAAACTATTTGTTTAATAAGTTACTGCAATTGCAATGAAAACAGTTTGCATGTAAATGAATACAAACAGTTATAAGGATATGTTTTCTTAAGCTGCCAAGATTAAGTTAACTAAGTTAACTGGGACAAAGAATTATTTTACAACAAGCGGAATAATAGTATTTTGTTCAACGCCAAAGTTATAATAAATAATAGCTACCATGTGCGAGTTGAATACTATATTTTGGCTATGGCTGTTTAATATTAGATTTTTGCTTCTTTTTTGCATTAAAGAAGTTGACGTTTCAATATTTTAAAAGTGCAGTAATAATTAATGTTCACTAATTAATGAATGAGTTAATGAAGTACAATGAGTTTATTATAAGATGTTTTATATGTTCAAATGTTTCGCTCTTCACATTCGTTTTGAAAAAGAAGAAAATTTTAATGGAAACATTGTTTTTAACCAATTGACGCTTTGTAATAAATAAGAGTGGAATACTGGGATTTGTAACTAGTTTGCTTAGTGAAGTCTAGCATGTAAGCAAACAGCGATAAAATTACCACTGCATTATACATTGTATATGCAATTTTCATACTAAGTTGGTTTCATTCATAGAGATTATCTGCTTTAAATAAGCTTTTGCTATCCGTTTATGTCGACAAAAGCATCAAAACTCGATTTAAACACATTGTTTTTGTCTGTTTTCAAGAAAACTTATTTTTTTCTATTTGCTATATGTAGCAATATTTTGCTTACTATCTTGGATATAATTGAACAAACACAATCAACTGAGAGCTTTTATTGTTTATTTAATTTTCATATAAATATTTTGTTTATTTTGTGTTCACTACTAAAACAGTTATTAATTTGCGATAATAAACTTGGATTTGCTATTGACAAGTAAATTTTAATTTAATTAATATTCTGAACTATTGATTTTTTAATTGCATGAAAATTAATGTTTTGGATTCATTAAATGTATCTTGTGTATTAAAAATATTGGTGAGCGTTTTGTCAGCCAAACCCTGCTGCATATTTTGTTTTAATCTTGGAGAAACTACATTTTAGGCAACGAGACAGCTAAATTGGTCAGACAAATTGCTTTAATGAACTACTATTCGTTAATTAAAACTGCTTTATTTACATAATAATTTCTCTTACTCACTAAAATTATTTCGTACATTTTGGTGAATGCGCCGCGAAAACTTAATTAAATGTTTAAGTATCCTACACACAAAAACACTAGTGGTAACTTTATAATTAAAACAAGTTGAAATGAAATGGAATGGGAATTTTTGGATTACTTTGTATTAATTACAAACGGTATAAATTAAGATGGAAAGGCAAACGCTACTAATTGATGATATTTCTTGATTTTTATTAAACATTTCTTGGATTGTTTTTCTTGTAAAAATACATTTTATTTAGACGAGTGCTTAAAACCTTCTTAACCAGAATGAATTTAATTGTACGTACTGATTTCAAAACATTTTTGTCCATTTGTGTCAAGCAAATAAGGCAAATTTCTGCTTCTTGTTTGCACTCAGTCTTGCACGCTTAAGTAAAATAGACATAAAAGTTCTTTTTTTACTTTTAAGGTGGTTCCCCTATAGCTAATTGAGAGCTTTCATGCAAACATTTTTCGCGTAACGAGTAGAGAGTTTCTGCTTAGATTAACAAGATTGAGGAAGCTGCGGTGTTTCGTGAACAAACAGCGAAAAGTTTCAAATTCTCGTTCATTTAAAACATTTATTTGAAAGAAAGGAATGAATAAGGAATGAGTTTCGGGTGCACAAATGGGGAATGCTACATAATGCAGAATATTGTACCCTGGGGGCTTGGCGAGATGCCCAAGAAAGCGAAATTTGAATTTAATTTCAGCGACAAATGAGTCAATCGAGAAAATGAATACGCTTCTTATTGGCGGCTTATGGATCGATGGTTTTATCTAATTTTGAGTCGGGTTGGAAAAATGATTAATCATGGTGATTAATTGAATCGAATTTTGGCCATAAGCACTATGAATAGTTTACAAATTTGCGAAAACGCTAAACGACGTGTAATTTATTGTGGTCACGTCCAATTTCAATTCATCAAAATGGAAGTTTAGTTTTAGTTTTTTGGGGAGCTGTCAGATGCGAGGTAGACGTGCTGACAGATGGATACAATAAAGCATGCATGTTGGAAGATTTTTGCTCATTTTTTATTTTAGCGTAGGTTTTTTGTTGTTTTAATTTAATATTACTTTTTCCTAGTGTGAGGTATTAATAGTGAATTAACAATTTCTTACAATCGGCTTTAATTAGTTCTGGTAAAGTTTCAACTCTTTTATAAAATTGAAAATTCAATAAATATTAATCGTCGGTTGAATGGCAGAAGTTGATACACACGCTAAAGTTTTTTGTGTGTAACTCCCATATTGCAAGGATAAACTGGTTTAATAATTTTGGGCTGTGTCAAGAAGGCCCAAATTTGAGGAAACATAGTGTTAGTAAGGATGTGACTAGGGTTTCAAACTAACAAGAAGTTTCAACAAGCCTTGATTGTTCAACATAATTTCGTATAATGAGAAGTGGGTACAATGATTATTCTAGGGTTAAAATTTAATAAATAAGTGGGAGGGCTTTGTTTGGTTGGTGACAGTTAATCGAACTTAAAATTTCGACACAATTGTAAACACGAAGGAGCTAGTTAAATGTATTATTCTGTATTCATTCATGCGTGCTTTGTTAATAAGAAAAACTTGTTAAAGGATACACAAACATTAGCAACAAGTTTGGAGAAAAGTTTTTTGATGAAAACCATTTAAATGGGAATTAGTTTTTGTTAAGTGAATCTGGCAAACTCGACACTTTTCCGATTTGTCACTAGAAAGGATTGCGAAATCGAGATATTTACTTTATGGAAATTGTTCAGAGGAGATGGAATATTGATCTTTTAAAGGCCCGCATCCTGTCTTGCCTTTTGATTTCGATTCAGGCTATTGGATCACCAAACTTTTTCTTTCTGGATGTAACTTTGGAGATTTATTAAATGCATGGGCTCTCATTTATCCAACATGGTATTTGTTTCTCTCAGGTTGTTCTTTCGAATTTAGTTAGTATTTTTAAAGTCAGAAGATTATGTAAAAGAGGATTATTTAGGTAATTGATGTCAACTAAATGTGAAGTTTATTGCGGTATATGTAAAAGTCTATTTAAACTTCAGCATTTCTCAAACATAGGTAATATCTATCAAAAGTTTCATGGAGTCTAAAACGGGAGAATTTTCGCTATAAAGTAAGATAATTATAGTCATAAACGTAAAACACGGATATTTTTTGGTCTTGTAGCTTGTTATCAATATTGTATTGAGTTGTCAACATTGAGGTTCGCTTAAAGACACAATGTCGAAATTTAAAATTGAAGAGGTCAAAAAACTTAAATTCGTGTTTGCGAAGGAGTCTGAAATAAATGTGTTTTTCTTACTTTTGCGTCATGTGAGAAACTGTATAAGGTACGTGTTTGCGGACGTGGATTTTATCTTCCTTATTCTTAAACTTTCTAAATTAAAGACAAAAACTTATAGTAAAAAAAATAATGAACGTTAAATTGCAAATGAGAAATACGAGCCGAATTTGAACAAGTTTTATCTTAGTCGCCGTCTTCAAAATTATGTGCTTTGTGATAACAAAACACGATAGTATTAATTATTAAAGTAGGTGCGATTTATAAATTAAACATTTTTTCTTTGGTGATTATGGATGAAGTCCAATAGAATTTTCATCAAGTACTAATACTAATTACTTGTCTTTTATTAATGAAACGTACATACACGGTGAATAAAAAGTATGGAACCAAGCGTTTTTTGCATAAACTAATTACTTAACGAAAAAAAATTGTTAGTGCAGTGTAAGGTACTATAAAAATCTAATCGTTTTTCAAGAATAACGTTTTTTATTTTTTTTTCAGTTTTCGACTTTTGCAAAAAAAAAAATTAATGGTAACCTACTGTTACAATTTTTTTTAATTAAAGACTATGATCTAAAAATGACTTCTAATTAAATAAAATTATTTTTTAACTAGTTGTTTTTTTTTAAATTCTTAAACTTGCGATCTGAGCCTATCACGAAGAGTCTCTGAACTTAACCGAAGTCGTCGTTTCATGCATTTGATAATAGAAGAGCCTTGATTTCTGTTCAGGTACAAATTTGGGTTGGTTTCGGATGGATTAAAAATAGAAGAAAATGAGTTCTTATTGGATTTTAGATCTATTCGGAACTACTCTAAAGTACTTGCACAAAAAGCCGGACTCTCGAAAGACCAGATGCATGAAACGACCACTTCCGTTTAGTTCGAAGACTCTTCGTGATAAGTTAGAACGCAACTTTAAGAATTAAAAAAACTACTAGTTGAAAAACAATTTTATTTAATTAGAAGTTATTTTTAGTCCTTAGTCTTTAATTAAAATAAAATTGTAACAGTAGGTTGCCATTTAAAAATTTTTACTTTCCTTATCCTGTGTTTTTATAGTACATTGCACTAATTATTTTTTTCGTAAAGTTTATACAAAAAACGCTTGGTTCCATACTTTTTATTCACAATTGATGAATTTGATGTTTACTTATTGGTAATATAACAAGACCATTGTTTTTTATCGAATACATATTTGAATTTTACAAAAAACTTTTTTTTTGTAATGACAATGTGACGAGTTGAATTTGGAATTTTATATTCTGATTAAAATAAGTTTCCAAATTTCAACGAGTAAAATTTTCTGAGTCAAAAAAGTTTCAGTTGAAATTCATATTCGATAATAAAAACAATGGTCGAGTTATATTTGA